GTCATTTTCTGGTAAAATATTATACTTCGACAAATTTTTCCTTCCAATGACCACCTTATGAAATCAACAATATTTATATTAAATTAAGCATAGTTTTTCACCCCATGATAATTTTTTTTAGAAAATAAGAATATTTAATTTTTGCCAGGCATATTAGTTAATTTGTGCATAATCAGCAATTTACCTGGGGTGGTGCATAGTCATTTTCTGGTAAAATATTATACTTCGACAAATTTTTCCTTCCAATGACCACCCCTAAAAGTAACCCTTCTAAACACTATAAGCACTTCAGAAAGGCTATCGCTTTTCCTTTTCGGAAGTTAGAGCTATGTCGACACTGCCGTTTCAGGGCGGGGTCATTTTCAGGACTTTCGCCCCGGATTCAGGTTTTCGCACATATGCCATGTTGACCGCCATGGTCATTTTACCCTAAAACAGTTGAGATTACCTGTCCTAAATGAATCGCATACAAACTCATATACAGGTCCTAGACTACAACCATTTTTTCTTCGGCTCCCATTTTAAATAACTCACTAGGTGAAATTTAGTGAAGCCGTTGTAAATGTAGAGAAATATATCGGTCTCTGACATTAAGGACTATTATAATAAAACGAATGTGTGAGAACTTTCTGGTTAACTCACATGAAAGGTCAACCTCGCAAACCAGAATCTTTACCTTCAGTCCTCCACATGCTGTAGGGGAGGCTTGCGAGGTTGATGAAAGGTTTGTACGTTATTGGTGAGCTTGTGTATATATAAATAGACTTTGCTAAATGGTATTGTGAAATATAAAATATATCTTACAATTTTTATTTTAGTTTTCGTTATCACAAGATCAAGAAACACGAAGTTTAAGTTTTGAGATCAAAACCCTCAAGGTATTTAATAATTAAAATGCATTCATTTGCATGGGTATGACTGAAAGGAGCGTCAATACAGGGAGAGTGAAATCGGAGAGTTAAGCCCTGGGCAAACTAGGAAACATTGTTGCGGAAACATTGTTTCCTGCCAATGTTTCACCATGTTTCCCAGAGTGGGCAAACACTTGGAAACATTGTTTCCTGACAATGTTTCGCCATGTTTCCCAGAGTGGACAAACACTAGGAAACATTAGTGAGAAACGTAGGGAAACAATAAATGTTTCTAAATTCGCTAGTAAACATTTTTGCTTCTCGGGAAGCAAATTTGTTTCCGCAACAATGTTTCCACGGGTGGGCAAACAGGGAAACATTTGAGGAAACATTGAAAATCACAAATGTTTCCACAACAATGTTTCCTAGTTTGCCCAGGGCTTTAGGATTTTGGAGAGTTAAGTTCGAGCCACGCCACTTTTTCTAACGAATAGTACACTCACTGTAAGGTAGTTTGCAATCTCTTTGCAATCTAAGAGGCTAAGCCATGCAAACCAGCTTATGTTAAAAAGACGTTTATTATTTACGAGGATATATAGAGAACAGAAATACGTGATATTAGACGCATCCAGAATAACCATTGTCCTCTTTTAGGGTTTTAATTGCGTGGAAAATATGCCATTTTTTCATCCCACTGAAGATCCTGGCAGCGAAGGAGAGAAAACAGCCTCGTTGGAGTTATTCATCATGGAAAAACGTTCCAATGATAGCGATAAATTATCGTTTGAGGTATGAAAGTTCTTACAAGCTAGATCAGTTCTTCAATTCAAGTCCGAGAAAGTCCTACTGCGAGTCCGAAAAGGAATGAAGTTGATTTATCCAGTCTATAGTTATAATAACTGGAGTTTAAATGAAATGAGTAAAACAAAAATTGAAGACAATTGATATTCATAGTGTCGGTAGTAATATTGTCAATATAAGTCATATAAAGATTAAATTTGACAAAAGTACTAAACCTTAACGTGCATGTATTTTACGTTTTACAGAAATTTTCATTTGGAAGTTGTGATACGACTGTGGTTGTAGAAGAGACGCTGATTTTTGCCATCTTAAAAGACTTTGGCTTGCATAAGAAAGTGGCGCAAGTATTCTTTGAAAGGTAGATATTACAGATATTTTATTAGGGAGCTACTAATGACAACAAACACAGAAGATACTTTAACAACATTCTGAACACTTAGTCCCCAGTTATGCGATACTGGATTCACTTAGTACGACTTGCAGCTCAGGAATAATGTCCTCCCATAACATTTCCTCCTTGACAATTTTCGTTTTATTTTGTCATTTGTCCTGAAACGGTTAAATTCGATGTTGTGACAAGCGAATCCAGCATTGTGTCACTGGGCTATATATTTTCGCAAGAATGGAAATTAACCTAAAAAGTCGACCGCTAAAAGTACATCGCCATCGATTTTCGCGACATTTTGCACCGAATGGAAATCCGCCTTTAGTCAGGGTACGATGAATAACGTACTTAGGCCTACGTACCGGAGATATGCATATAGTACGGTCTGGTACTTCTTTTCCAACCAAGTATCACGTAGATACGCAGTACTCTCGCTATCTGCGTACTTACTTTTTGCCGATACCATGCATATATGACTTTTCCAAGGCCTAGTCTTAACCGTAATTAAGTCGGTATATGTGTACCTCTGGCATGTCTTAGCATGAAACATGGTTGGAATGGTGGAAATAAAGAATATTGGAGACGATTGTAGTATCTGTACAGTATATGCAATTATGCTCCTTGCTCTAACTCCTAGTTTCAGGTTACCGATAATGAATACTTTCAGAAACCTGTACTTTATGTACTTCATTCTTAAGACTAAGTACACCTTGAGTACCAGCTCAAGTACGCGGCAATAATCATTGGAGTACCAGTAAGGTACGAATAGAACAACAACAACAACAACAACAACAACAACAACAACAACAACAATACATTTATTTGTACTCGAACATTACAGTAACAACACACTAGTATACTCAGATAATTACAATTGATGAGTACAGGCCACCTGAAATAACCATAAGGGCTAGACGAGTCAGGTGACCTTTATTAGACAAAAAATCTAAGTGAATGGGTTTGGTCAATTTTATGCAATATTTTATAGGAAAGCAAACAAGAAACAAGAAACAAAACACCAACAAATAGCAAACGAATAGAAAAAAATATATAGAAAAAAGAAAAAGAAAAAAGAGCCAAAATATATTCATCATTTTAAATTTTTGAATTAATAAGAAGCAATTATATGTTCTTTAAGTTTTCTTTTAAAGGTTTTTAGACACAGAGACTTCAAAGATTCATCGACAGAGCTCCAAACTTTAGGTCCACAAAATCTAATATTAAATATTCCGTAATTTGTACGAACTGGTGGGATAGCATATACACGCGGGATGTTTTGCTATGTGTACACTAGTGCCCTGAATTCTCGCCTCCCTGAGAAGTATCCAGGGTAAATCACGATAACAAAATAATAATAACTTTATAATAACTTTATAATAATAATAAAATACAAATACTGATTTCTCACCGTTTCTCTCTCGCTGGTTAGTCTCGCATGCTTGTTAATCACGTGACCCATCACAAAAATGTCAATGTTCGCCTTGGCTTCGTAAAGCTCCGTAATGAGCCCAGTTCGCTACACTAGGCCTACATTATAAAGAACGAGTCACAAACACTGATCACTTTTGTATTAGGTATAGTCAGTAAATGCCACTAACAAAGCATCATCATGTTAACTTCATAGTTACAACATTATAATGCTCGTGTAATTTCTTGTTTTTCAGTCGCGAAGAGGAAAGTGCAGCTAAATCCAGTCCATCTTCAAAACGATTTTACTTCGAGCATATTGAGCTGCGAGCTGTTGAAGTGATTTTAACCTTGCTACCAGCTATTGATCTGCCTGTTGACCTGAAAGTGATTAAAAACAATTTGGGAATTCCTAATCAGTTACCTCCAAGATTTGAAAATGCTTGTTTATATTTTGGTAAGTTAGATATATGCTGCCATGTTACTATAACAGAATTCAGGGGGTCAACTCCCCAACCCACTTTGACTATTTTACTCCAAAAATCTCCACAGATAAGGTTTATACCCCCTCTCATTATCCCTGAGTGGTTTTGCTGCATCCTCCTAGTTCTAGCACCGTTGGGGCGAAACTATATGACCAAATAATTTAAAACCGTAACAATTCGCACAAAAATACGTAGTTGAATTGAAATAGCACACTGTATGCGGAGGAAATGGTATGATAGCAGACTGTTTCACTGCAAAACATTTTGACTCAAAGACTTGAGTAAAATGCACCCACAGTGACTCAAATTTATGAGCAAATTTACTCATTTTTGAGTGAAATAAACCTTTACCCTTTAATAAAAAATTGAGCAAATATGCTCGTTAATTTTACTCAAAATTTTGAATGACCATGGATGATTTAGACAGAATTATTTTACTCAAGTTTTTAAGTAGAAATATTCAGGGATTTTTTGCAGTGAAGGAAAGAAACGAATAAAATTCGTGCAATTTTATGAAAGTTTTAGAACAGCTGAAGCAGTTCATAATAATATTATATGCTAAATCCGACTATACTCCGGGTATTAACGATAAGTTGTCTACTTGATGTGGATATTAAACATTGCTTTTCATGAATATTTCATTCCAGACGCATTCGCACGCAACAATATCCAGTATGGTTCATATAAATACATTTCATACGATATCAAGAAACATTACTTAAAGGTAAGATCGGCATGATTTGATAACCACGTGGCCTTTTCTCTATAGAAGAACATGAAATTAAACAGATTATTAACCAACCCGAGCGTCTGTAATATTCTATATTGATTTTGACTCGTACTTGTTGATGTGAACGACATTATTTAAACATTACTGTTACGTGAATTTGGCAATGGTAATATTTATTAGGTCTAGGTGCATGTTAACATAGGCAGCAAAATAATAAGTTATTGAACGGTCTGTGCTAGTGTAGGTCGTGACAATAATAAGAAAGCTTGAGATTGATAGGGATGCAACTACCTGAAAAAAAAGGAGAACTTCGACGTTTCGAGCAAATGCCCTTCGTCAGGTAATAAGTTCAACGAGTCCCATGATAGACTTGGTCCAAGTTCCTATTTCTTTGATCTGTTATAGTGGGAGACGCGTCAGTCATTAATTTTGCACTATAGTAGATCAGAGAATCAGGACTTCGAGCAAGTCTAGCCACAAGTTAGGACCGATCATTGAGTAACAGCATTTCTTCGACTTAATGGGATGAAGCAACGGGTGCAACCTGATTTTTAACACTAATCCCCTTCCACCCTTACAGATACTGTAAGTAAGATGCTGTTAAGAATAATTAGAGTTCTTAAAACCCACATTTCACTGAATAATAAATCTAACCACATTCATGAATACTAAATCTTTTTAAAATATATTAACATTTGTTGTCCGTTTACACAAAAACTCGCGTACATTTTATTTCAAATTTGTGGTTTTGATTGACATCTTGTCTGTCTTACTCTTTCAACACAGTCTTAATTGCAACAGAAAATAAAGGACCGTAGTTAAAATATTAAAAGCCGTACCATATACAAATAATAATTGATCTAGATCTGGATTAATTTCGTTGTTACCACAGCTTCTTCAGTAATACGCCATATTGTTTTAATCCAAGGAATTAGGAAGTCAGTCAGCCCGAGTTCTTGGTTCGATGCATCTTTTTGGTAACGTCTCTCGTCTTAAACAAGATATAATGTCTGGATTTACCACGCTTCGCGAAACAGGAGAATTTATAACTTTCTTTCATCAAGTTACTACCGGTGTGGCTAGTTCATATAGCAAGGTAGGCAACAAGTCCTCCAATGATTATTGCCGTGTACTTGAGCTGGCACAAACGTAAGACTCAAGGTGTACTTAGTCTTTAGAATGAAGTACATCATGTACAGGTTACTAAAAGGGATCCCTTCAGTAACATGAAACTAGTATGGTGTTATAGATCAAGAAGCACAATTGGATACACAATTAAACACTATGATCGACTCTGACATTCCTTAGCCCCATCTCATCATATCAGTCCAATCATGTTTAATGCCCAGTCATGCTAGACTTGCACATATTCCCACTAAATTATGGTTTTGAATAACGTGGGCTTGGACAGGTCAAGTGGTACAAGCAAAAAGTAAAGTACGCAGATTAGAAGAGTATCGCGTACCCACGTGGTACGTAGCTGACAACACAGAAGTACCAAACCGTAATATTGGCGTATCGCACCCTGCATATATCATACCATGTTTTTATTATCCTCTAGTTGATACTAGAGGTATCAACGGCAAAGGTCTATCGTCTCAATACTTTGCTGTTGATACACAAACGTTGCCTACAGGCGATACTATTATTACAATCCAGGTTCGCCCGCACGACTTGAAAGCCCCGGGGCTTGGGGCTATTTTGCGTCTTCTGGCCCACCCTTGGACTTTATTGAACCGAACAATATACAATTCATTTTACTTTAACATGTGGCTTGGGGCTATTTTGCGTCTTCTGGCCCACCCTTGGACTTTATTGAACCGAACAATATACAATTCATTTTACTTTAACATGTGCACGTCAGTTTCTCATATTCCAGGTGCCTTCCTAACACTTGGTGAAACTAATACATGGTTTGTTCATAACTCTAAATTTAGTTCGCAGGATCATGGTCAGATTTATTTGGTCTTACCTCTCCAAGTCATTCTGTAGAAGCACCTCCAGCTGCTCATGAGAGACGACATTCTGATCCAAGTGATCTTGATGTTGCTGTTTTACGACAACTGTCAGAAGAGTGTGCCGAACATTTTCAAGTAAACAGCACGCCTAAAAGAAGGTCCAAAGACGACAGTGACGTAAGTGATCAATTTTATTCTTTCAAATGTGTTCATCCTGTCACTGTCAATATGTGTCTTATTGATTTTGGGCCAGTTCCCATATTGACATCTTTATTAACAGCAATTTCGATTTTAACCTTAAACTAATTCTAAACCAAACCACTGTGACGTCATTTCGGGATATTTGTATCGAAAGTCACCCTTATTTTGTTGATCTCCTCACTAGAATATGGTATCAGAGGTGAATACAAGCAGGAGACGATGGGCACAACTGCCCCCCCCCCCCTAGCTTTTTAAAGTCTTCATATTGCTGCTTTACTGTTAAAGTCGTATGTAGTATGGGTTTTATATCTGTAAAATGTGAATTAAATTTAGGCCATAAACACTGAGATTTACAGCAACGAAAATTGCGGGAATATTTGACAACCTTTCTTCACACCCAGAATAATCCGCCAGTGTCCACCAGTGCATGGTGTAGCAGTGCTTTTGTTTAGAATTTCTAATATCTCTGGTATTCATGTTAAATTTTATCGTTGCTCACCAGGTGCTTGATGTGGACGAGTCTTCAGAAAGCGTGTGGTTAAACACAAATCTACTGCCTGATATCACGAATGAGACAGATGGCCTGAACTGGGATACAGAAAGCAGTGATGGAGAAGGAAATCTACGGATTCCACTGAGTCTAATTCCCAGAAATGTGAAAAGACAACTGAAAGGACAGGAATTTCTAAGAAGATTGAAAGAGAATCTTGGAGACAATGAACATGGCGAAGTGTAAATATTCTTGCTTCTCTTCTTCACTGAATGGTCTGTGTCGGATTAACCGTATGCAGGATCGCCGAGGGATGTCGCGGGGCCCGAGAGAGTTTTCCCTGATACCCCTATACGACGTTATATTGGTTACACTCACTGATCCGCAGTGAAAATGTGCATATAATGAACAAAATTAAAGTTCATTATTTATCTTTTCAGGTTGTCCACCAGGGGATGATTGTTCGAAATCCGATATCCCTAAGTCAACTTAAATTTTAAAGCAAACTTCCCAACAGTGTATTAGTAGGAATTTTCTTCTATGAAGTTTAAACAAAAATATTTTTGAAACAGCAGGTTTATTAAATTTTAACCGAGGGTTAGGGCTAATCCAGCTTTGAACACAAGCTCCAGATGTCAGACATGTGTTTCCGAACTAAAAATGAGCATACGAGGGTGACGGGCGAAAGGTTACCTATCCGCCTTTCTCCCCCTCCCAGGTGCGGTTGGCCCAAAATATATAGAGACACGTGCTTGGCTTCATCGAAGCTTTTAACCTATTTTTGGTTTCCATTTCAGATTTGCGTGCTGTTTTAAAGTACGCAAGAATGTTGTGGAATCGAAATTAAATGCATTGTTGTCAAATCGCAAAGTTTACTTTCTAAAAGGTCGACCTAGTCACGAGTCTTTAGTACTTTGTGTGAAGTATGAGGCTTTGTATAAAGCTCAGTATATATTTCAAGGTAAGAGGTTTTTACTTCTCTTATATTACATATCTCTTCCACTCCCCATTTGGAAGTTTCAGACTATAGTCCGCATTTCAATTTTCACTGCAATTATTACAATGCTTTGGGGGTCAGCTGTATGAAACTGCGTATTTTTCAATTAATGGAACAATGCTCTTTAGACCGGCTAAGAATTAATAGTAGACACAGACAGCTTTTTCTGTGGGAGAACGGATTATGGGGGTGAAGTACTCCTGTTACAAAAAGTGTTATATTAAGTATATTTAACCCAATGGCCTTATATTTGATATATTTAACCTTTATGGCCTTATATTTCATCCTGCGGGGTATATATAAGGTCCGCTCTGAAACACCTAGGGGTAAGGGTCCCTAGGGCTGCCCTGGGGGTAGCGACCCCCTCTGACCGTATTAACCTGAACCAAGGGTAAGGGTCCCTTGGACAGTTCCTATAACTCGGCCGATTATATTTACATTGATTGAGTCTATGAACTTGAAGGTGACCTTTGGGAGCACTTCAACCCCAAACTAATAAACGTTTTATTGCAATAACTTCAGCAAATAAAAATAGGTACGCAGTGCGTACATATTGCATGCCATCTGAAACCTTATGGTGCGCTAGTGCTTATAACTTTTGGTACAACTGGCCTGAAACTTAAAATATTGATTCAATAAGTTTAACATCAATATATTAATTGAAAGATAGCTATTATGTCAAAATACGAAAGCTTAAGATTCTCATGCGAATAGGCAATGTTTTTTATGAGCGACTGTTCATCCTTAGTTGCAAGCGACGGTAATAACAAGGTCAAGGTTTTATCACTGATTAACTGTTGGATATCAATCTCAGATATCAGGTCACGACTTCGATTCCCACCGTGGTCAGTTAAACGTTTCAGCTTGCCCGGTGTGGATGCGCACTCATAGTAACATTAGAAACATCATAAATAATGTTATTTCCTACAAATTTAGCTTTATTGTGGCTTTTTGAGGTATAAAATCCCGTGCATGGAAATGGTGAATTACTATAATATATTGAAAATAATCTCGACTATGATTGAAATTATCGAAGTAGAATGCTACTTCATTGCAATTTCAATAGTATTAATGAGAATTTTGTTTGATATTTTGAATATATTTCATGTTATTTGCAAAATGTACCATAGTTTTGAAGTTTTGCACACAATATATCAGTGCGAGCACAAAGGCTCCGTTTCAATTTGAGCATATAAAAAATGAGTATTTTCATAGCGTGGCCTTTCACGATATATAAATAACGCCTGAAAAATAATCGGTGCGAGCACAACGGCTCCAAAATCACAACAAATAACGGAATATAAGGTAAATTAAGGACAGCGCTTTACCTATACCTCGATCTATTTTTCTAAAGCGCTCAATTACGTAAATTTTCGGCGAACAATCAATATTTTCTTTGCCTTTCCTCGACGAAAGCCGTGGACGAAAACGTGCACGAGTGATTCACATCGCATGAAAATGCTCGTCGAAAAAACTCGGTATTTGTCGTATTTTACGAATCTGCCACGCGATTTACCACCGCTGGTACACCGCGGACACGAAATTTAGAGCTATATGAAAGTTGCATGCCATGCAAAAACAACAATTATTAATGCTCTACTCTGAAAGTTTGTTTGTTTGTTTTTGTTTTTTGGGTTTTCTTAAATATGTATATAATAATATGATATAGTACATCGAGCACTGTGAAAGCGTATTCCAATGATAGTGTTATCTCCAATAATAGTGATCTTCGATGATAGTGTTCACCATAAGTGTTTTCTGTAATCCCTTTGGACAAGTGGTGGTTCATGGGTGGGGAAGTGTTACAGCAGCTTTAGAACATTCCTTTGTTAAGACTTTGAAACAAGTGATCTCTTTCAACTGTGTTTGGTCTATTTTAATGGCTTAACCGAATTGAAATCGATTGTCATATAAATTAGACTAAATTTGTCATATAAATATATATTTGACATATATATTTGAGATATAGAGAATTTCAAAAGTATCAGAATTTCTGATACTTTCGACAACCAGTCTCTGCAGTTTAAGTATATTTCACAATAGGGGATTTGAAAAGTATCAGAATTTTTGATACTTTAGACTATCAGTCTCTGCAGTTTTAAGTATATTTCACATATAGAGGATTTTTTAAGTATGATTGAGATATAGAGGATTTCAAGAGTATCAGAATTTCTGACACTTTGGACTACCAGTCTGCAGTTTTAAGTATATTTCACATATAGAGGATTTCAAAAGTATCAGAATTCTGATACTTTGGACCACCAGTCTCTGCAGTTTTAAGTATGATTGAGATATAGAGGATTTCAAAAGTATCAGAATTTCTGATACTTCGGACTATCAGTCTCAGTCTGCAGTTTTAAGTATATTTCACATATAGAGGATTTCAAAAGTATCAGAATTTCTGATACTTTCGACAACCAGTCTCTGCAGTTTAAGTATATTTCACATATAGAGGATTTGAAAAGTATCAGAATTTCTGATACTTTGGACTATCAGTCTCTGCAATTTTAAGTATATTTCACAACGAGGATTTCAAAAGTATCAGAATTTCTGATACTTTGGACCACTAGTCTCTGCAGTTTTAAGTATAATTGAGATATAGAGGATTTCAAAAGTATCAGAATTTCTGATACTTTGGACGTCTAGTTTCTGCAATGTGTGGTCTCGGCAGCTTAAGATTTAAACTATATAGAAAACATTGTATGATACTTTTATATATTTCCAACCCAACGGAGTGTTGCACATTTCGTTATTTTTCGTGTTTTTGAAATCGTAAGATATTGTCGCATGTATTGCAAATATTATTTTTTACGGAAGGGGTATTTTTATCTCCAAGGTTTTTGGTGTCAGTAAAATTTGATAAATAAGGCTGTTTTTGTCGAAAAAATATTATTTTGGAAAATGCAAAGATAGTTTGGAACGCGTTTAGAGAGCATTGCCCATTAACTTAAATTTATAATATATATAAATTAGCTGCTGTGTAAAAGTACCTGAAAGCTGTGATACTATATAAACCTGCAATGCCAACGGCCAGTTTGAGTATACCTCATAAATATCACTATCTGCGGTCGCCTTGGATAGCGCTATCCCACCTTCATACAACCAGCCCTTAATCTAAATGTATTTATTCTATAAGCTATCTTTTTATACCTTCAGAGAGAGAGAGAGAGAGAGATAGATATATAAATTCAAATTCTAACAATACATTTATTTCAATAGTTTTCGGGGTTTTTGGGACACCCTGTATTTGTAAATATTTTTAATTGATTTGTGACGCCCCTTATGACAACCAACTCCTGTTGATGAGGCTAGTGTCTTTATTCAATAAATTTTACATACACACACACATACACAGCAACATTTGTATCGTGATTTAGCACTTTAAGTATACTAATTTATGTACTGGCAGCTGTCATGTGTGAGTGAACATATATGGCATTTTCTTGTTGCAGATAAGACTCATTATATTCAACTAATGAGTAAAATGAAAGGAATAAGAACATTATCAATACCTTCAAGAAATGCAAGTGAAAGTCCTCTTGTGCGTAGTGATAACATGGTCATTGCAAGAAAGGTACCTAACATGTATTTTATATAAACACGGCTCTAAAGTCTTTCTTACAGAAAAATCAGACTCCAGTACCACTACAGCTGAAAGGTTTTCAGCAGAATCTGTCCGGAACCTGAACTTCTATGGGGGTTAGGGTTTTGGGTTGAAATGGGGACGGCCAGTTACTGTCTCTTCTTCAAAGCTGTTTCCTCTCATGTTGTTTATTTTGTTTACTGAATATCTCGCTTATTGGTGAATGGATATCCCAACAGGATATTGCTCAACTGACAGGGGATCCGAGGTACCTACGATTTTAACGTCCTTATCCGAGAAATTCAAGACACGCAAGTGTCTAACTATTTACGGATGTCATTGCTAAGGTAGCACTTTCTGCTCAATTATTTTAAGACCTTGAATGGAGGTCCCACCAGGGGTTGAACCCGGGTCTCCCAACTCGAAAGGCAAGCGTGGTGACCACGACACCACAAGAGCTGGTTGGTCTAGAGAGGGTCTTCCGTCGCCATTGATCTCTATCCTTAACATCCTCGTGTGTCATCTTGCTTAGTTTCATGTCCTGTTAGATACAAGATTTACACAGCCAAGGTTCATGCATGACATTGTTGTTAATTCATGGTTGTTTAATAAAAGAAGACAAAATCAAGTACACACGTAAAAATGTCACAAGTTGTAACAATGCTGTTATTTTGTCAAGTTGCTACAAGGTTGTCACTCACAACTTGTTGACAAGTTGTTGAATTGTTGGAGGATAACACGTTGTTGGAACAACAACAGGTTATTGGAACAACTTGTAACAAGATATTGAGTCAACAACTTCGTAACAAGGCGTTGACAACTTGTCAACAAGATGGGAACCAGCAGTGCGAACGTATCCTGATGACAAGTTGTTGGAACAGCATTGCAACAATGGGACAACCATTTATGTAACTATGGTATAACATGGTTCTTAAAAGTTTTTCTCCAAGTTGATTCAAGGATTGTTAAGTATGCTGTATAGCATTGATCTAAATAGCAGTTTAAGGTAACGAAATAAGATGAAGTGGTTCTTAGTTAAAACCGAAAAAGAAAAAAGGGAAAACCTGAGTGAATCGCTTTTTTTAACTCGGTCGATCGAAACCACACATAAAAATATTGCACGATGCAACTCAAAATTCTTGTCTTAAGGTGCTGCTACACACGCTTTTCGGCGTTGTTTCGCAAAGGAAACCCGATCCTACAAAAGATTTAAGACATTGTCACACAACTTACACGTGTGACTCGATTTTATTGAAATGGAAAATATTCGGGTTTTCGGTTTATCGATTAACCGCCTCACACTATATTTATGAAATTATTTATGTCCATGCAGGAAAGATTCCTTAGTCCCATACAGTAAGTTCCACACAGAGAAACCAACCCGTAACCTCTAGATTGCTAACCTGACGCTCTGCCAGTGGAGTAAATGAACGGACAAACCTCCATAACACTAGAGCAAATTGTTTTCTCTGCATGAAGCAAACGTGCATTTTCTGTTTCGTTTAGGTCTCGAGCAAGATTAACGAATTAAAGAGAACTTATGATCATGAATACATGCATAGTCAACATCAATAATTATTGCATGCTTTTCAATGTAACTCTATACATAGTTATTTATATAAATTAATTGGGAGAGGGGTTATAAAAGAGAAATTATTTTTGTATAGCCACCAAATAATCTATTATCTACAAAATGAGATTTTGTTATTTTGCATATTATATATTTAAGAAATTAAATGAAATACTATTCATTATTATTAAAGTTTATAATTATATAAATTTTCAGTTGTTATTTTGTCAGCTGTAGCCTTCTCTGTGGGGAATTATGAGCCTGCATTCCTCCCTAGAAAAAGAAGCCTTTCAAACAGTCAGTTATTTTTATACTACGTACTTCCGTTATGATATTTTTCAGATGTCCACCCTCAACTATGTTATTTTTCAGATCACCCTTCAACTGTGCTGTTTTTCAGATGACCCCCTCAACTCTTTTATTTTTCAGATCACCGTTCACCCGTGATATTTTTCAGGTAACCCCCCTCCCCCTCAACTATGTTGTTTTCAGATCACCCCTCAACTATGATATTTTTCAGGTGGCCCTGCAATTCAACAATGCTATTTTTCATGTTAGCCTCTTCCCCCCCTAAATAATCTAAAAGTGCAACTTTATGTTGAATTTTAGTAGCCCAGAATCTTCAGTTAGGGTGACATTCCTGAGGAAAGAAGAAAATGTTGAAAATTCAGTTTAGAATTCAAATTGAAATGTGGCTCAATGCAGTATAGTCGATTTTGGTTTAACTCTTTGAGGTTAATACCTTAGACAATGGCAGAGAAGAAACATAATAGAGTAATATTATTATGTTGTTTACAGTATTTGTAAAATGCCCAATTGTTGATGATTAAGACCATGCAGCCACAGTTCCGAAACAATTTATCGATGTGAAAAGTGCGCAATATATCGTACATATCATTCAGGTATGGAGCTAGCAGGCATAGTAGTCGCTTTATTTTATTGAAGGTTTGAATGAGGATTTTTGAATAAATGTCAGGTTATAAAGCTAGTTAATAATCTTACATCCAAAGTTCAGGACAGGGGTAGAATTTGGTTGTATTTGGTTTATCCTGAAGAGTACAACGAGCGATGGTGTTTGGGAAAAGAGATGAGGACGAATCCGAGGAGGAATGAAAGATGAAGGTGCAAGTGACAAGGACAATAATTTCATACAGCATGTTCGTAATTTTTAGCCATAATTCGCAATGCAAATTATGTTTTTACGAAATTTAATAGCTCGCCGGCGACTTGCATTGTCCTGTGGGACGTCCACTGATCCAACCTCGTTCCCAGGCTAATGGAAAGAGCCTGGGAACGAGGTGGCCACTCCTCTAACATCCCATAAATTGGTTTTCCGCGGGTGACTTCATTATAAGAAAGTCTATTCTGATTGGGTGAAAGTGGTGCAATTTTGACCAAATACCGTCAATGCAGGATTCAACATGGCGGTCTACTTGACAAAGTCAAAGGGGAGATTTTGACGGACATGAACTGAAAACGTGTGATATCCTGCATGACAAGACGTCATAGGTTGTTTGCTACGGCAAAATGTATGTTTTTAAAAAATAAAGCAAGAAGTTTTCAATTAGTGGAGTTCTATACAATTTTTCATGCGTGATTGCTAATAAGTAACATTACATAGCATATTTCCTCGCGCAACGTGGATAAAACAAACACTCGTGAGTTTTTAAACAACTGGCTCTCAAACGAGCACTCTTTTTAAAACCTCAAATAGTCACCTTGTGCTATTTTTAAAAACTCACTCGTGCATGTTTATCCAAATTGCACTCGTAACTATCCTATTACATATAGCTACTAATAATTTTGAAAACAATATTTAATTTAAAATGGTAGGCCTAATAGCAAAAATATTGTTGAAAATGTTAAGAGTTGCTTGCAGGTACAACATAAGACGGACATCGGCAACGGATTCTAAATCCTCAAAATCTCGACTCTATATATGTTAGGTTCGATTGAATAATTATATACTTATTTTTCAAAAGAGTCATCAATTTAGCCTATTTTGCAATTACAATATATGAAGTAGTATCAGTTTTGTACACACAAATGCAACAGCAAAATAGCTGCGCGTAAATTGCATTTTTTACTGGAGTAAAAGTTCAGATAGGGGACACTAAAGCCCCGTTTACACTGCGCTCAATTTCTGGTACGGCACGGATAAAATTGGTACCCGTACCACTTTTGGTTCTTGGACTACCTATTTAGGTAGTCCAAGAACCAAAAAGTGGTACGGTACCAAAAATTGAGCGTAGTGTAAACGGGACTTAGCTAAGTAGGTAGTCCAAGAACCCAAAAAAGTGGTACGGGTACCAATTTTATCCGTGCCGTACCAAAAATTGAGCGTAGTGTAAACAGGGCTTAAAACTTTTATTGGTAAACAGAAGGGATGGGAATCATTCGTACACCCCCTCCCCACATTCCTGTCCGAATTTCAGCTTTTCACAAGGCCAATCCTTTTACCCATTGGGGAGGCAGAGCCCCCTCCCCTTGCCCCTCCCCTGGCTACGCCACTGATTGGCATTCTTTTACAAATATGACTACTAGGGTCAACACAACAATACTGTCATCATATATAAATAATCCTGACATCTCCTCAATAAAGGTCAGGCCTCCTTCCATGTAGGTAAGTCGTCATTAATGCTGTATTGAGTTATTTATTGACAGTTTACACAGCTTGATCTTCTGAAAGAAATCAGTCTCCCTGTCATCACAGTTGGTCATCACATATATAGGATAGACAATGATTACGGTTGTTCAGTGGAATATAGACTCGCGAGAATTAGTTAGACTGCCTTGAAATATACCTTCTAACCAAAGTCAGTTCTCCCTAGCTGTCACAACTTTCTATTGTCTTCGATATTTAGTTATTCGTCATTAATGCTACAGTATATCTACGCAAATCTTCCTTAACACAATCTATCGTTTCTGCGGTCTACCACTTGGTCGTTTTTCATCTTTCATTCTTTCCCTTACCCATCGAAAGATTAGCCTACGGTGTAGACCCCAGGCTATCGAATGATATGATGTGGCTCTACTTGCATGCCCAAACCACCACAACAATTGGAACCAGTTACTGTGGATCTTTAAATTACAGCCAATTGCAGTTGAGCTTGCAGCTTGCATTTTAAACGCGTTGTTGCATCGTTGAAAAGTATGCGTTCATTCCTTGGAAACACGCCGTTGCTAGGGGCGTAACGTGAACTTTTGGCGCGCGTTGTAACGGCGTAAACATGTTTTTCTATTCTTGGCGTTGACGAATTAAATTAGATTTTGTCACAAAACCGACCAGGGAGTTCTAATTTGACTGCAGGCATTCTAAAAATACCTTACTGTTCCGTCGCAGGCTTAAGCAGCGTTTTTACAATATATTTAACTCGTTATACGTTTGTTTGCACGCCGTTCAGAAGTTCAACAATGCCCGCCAAAAGTTCACGTTACGCCCCTAGCAACGGCGTGTTTCTAAGGAATGAACGCATACTTTTCAACGATGTAACAACGCGTTTAAAATGCAATCTGCAAGCTCAACTGCAATTGGCTGTAATTAACGAAATTATGTAACAACTAAGTTAACTAGTTGCAAGACTTCACGCTTGACAATGTTCTTCATGTGACATTCCGCACATGAATGATGAAAGAAATTTACATGTTTTGAAGTGCTCTTCAACATTTCAAGAAAGCCACCTCGAGTTGCGAATTCCTCCGCTTGCTTTGAATACTTCAATGCGCTCTTCAGAAGGTATTCTTTTCTCTCGATTTCAGCTGGTTTGAGATTCTGTGACCGCCGATAGAACAATACAGAACGTGCCAAGCAATACTGACAAACACGGTAATCTGTCATCGCGTAACCTTCATTCACATACGTATCAGCCGCGTTTAAATGCTTTACTGCTTCCTCGATTTCTGAGTCTTCTACTCTTGTTTCAGCTCTTGCATGACTTGCAAATGAACATCCAAGGTGTAGAAATGCCAAATTAATGTGCACCTTCTGTTTCTGGTCAAATTTCGATGGTAGAAAATCATTGGCATCTTCCAAGTGTTCAACTGCTTTCTGGAAAAAGTAAATTGCCTCTTGTTTCAAGACTTTCTTGTTTTCTCCATCACATTCCAATAGAACTGTAATGACCGTAGCAAGATTTGAATAATATTGAACGACCAGCATCCCAGTAGGAATCTGTTCAACTAGCGATAAACCGTTCAGTCCGTGCTTATAACTTTCTCGAATGTTTCCTCTACTACGTTCCAATGCAGAATTCAAAAGAAATTCTCTTGTTTCACTGATCATTCTATCTTCGGATTGAGCTATTCCACTTCTATATTCTTCCATGCCGCGTTGTGCCTCCTCGAAATTTCCTAGTTTAAAGTAGGCAGTTATTTTCTTTGATAAAATAACTAACTTTACTCCATGTACTGCACAAATCGCTTGCTCCTCCTCCAAACGATCCCAAAACTTTTTCCACGAACCATCATTAATCAATCGAATCAAAGCTCCGTTCACATGATAGTAATTCTTTCGATTGCAAATGGAACTCCATGGAATGCGACCTATAGGTCGTTGACACTGAAGAGCACTCGTTGATTTGGCGCATGCACTGTTGTCATGATCTGCCATTTCACGTGATCTTTCTGAATGAAGATATTCCTTCCAGCTATCTAACTTCATTTTTTCAACAACGCCGTCGACAATGTGGTAACTTTCTGGTTCTTTGAGAAACACCCCACCAGGACACCGTGCTACCACAATGGTAATAATAAATGTCGACTCTACCGGTCTTCCTGTCTTGTCACGAACAGGGTGAAAGTGAATGTCCCAGTTTTCACCCTTACGTGGGCCATCTTCCAATCCAAGCCAGATCATCTTATTGATTTTATTCTTGAACTTTGTGATTATAGATTCGCTTTCGTTTGCTGGGATGACTTCTCCATTGATTTGGTGGTGCTCATCATCTACTCCAACATAAATAACTCCACCACGATAATTAGCAAATGCTGAAACGCACTGAATGATTTTATTCCCTTTACCAATGACTCGATCAGCCAGTGTTGTTCGTTCGGCAGGAGCGTCTTCGAGTTGCTTAAACTGAACATTGTACGTTTCAGTCAGTTTGATTTCCTCTCCTTGTACAAATACCTGTTGTACGGCTGGTAATTTCTTGCTCGGGCTCATCTTTTTTTTTCCAAATAGAATAGCTCGAACGTTTTCTAACGCTTCGTTTGGCAATACTCGATTAATCTGAGTATGGCTTGGCAGGAACATGTTGTAATCAACTGTAATCAAATTATAGGAACCCTCGATGTTAATGACAATTTGATCAGGTTCTACTCCAAAATGGACTTTCTCTAACATCGTTATGTTACCAATCAAGGTGTTAATCCATTGTTCAATGGTCCTTGCTAGTTGATCTAAATCTTTTTTCTCATAGTTCTGGTTAGGGAAAGTTATAATGAGATCTCCACCATCACTATTCAACATGGCACATACATGTGAAGTTACTTGTTCTTTTCTCTTCTTTGTTGAGTCAGTCGGAGAAAAGAAGATAATAAACGGTGGTCTCCTGTTTGTTGATCTATGCATTTTTAACAATCTTTGTTCCGGATTGCTTTTGAAATGGTTTACCAGAATGCTTAAGAATGCTAAAAAGAAATGGATAGAGTTTAGTAACTTTAGTTCATTGTTAGCAAACAGTACATTATGCTAGGAGCGGAGAACTCAGAAAAGGCACGGCTGTACGTTGTGAAACCGCGGAACAACTCTCACTTCGTGAAAGAAACAACATTAGTGTGGCAAGTTTTTAGAGAGTCGTGAAGGGTAAATAGGAGCTGGGATTTACCCGACCTCGATTTGCCCAGCCAAATCCAACGAGGTTGGAATTTATCCTTTTTCACTGGGAAAATTGGATGTAGATCTAGTCTGGGAACGAGATTTGGACCAGCAATTTAATTAAAGATCGAGATGGTTAACAAGAAGATGATTTTTATTTACAAATAAATGAAACTCTGACGACAATCAACATGTCGTGACGACATGTGGTGTACTTGGAAAGTATTGATAAATTTGCACGTACCACAAACGTGCCAGAAAGTACATTATTTTGGCTGTAAAGCATCCTTTTCGTGTATGTGACATTAGTTAGAGCCCTGCGCCTCAATCATGAAACCGAGGCTCTTTAGCCAAAGGGAAGTACTTTCCGGAAGCGTGTATTGTTGTAAAAATGCGAAAACGAGGTTACCTAAAAAAAAGGCAGCGACTACAAACGACGACGCACTTATATAAGCGCCCTGGATATAAGCGTTTAAGAAATCAAACAAATAGTGCAATAAGACAAGTGAAAGAAAATTATTTCACACCAAATCTAGTTGAGGTTAAACAAAAGAGCTCTTGTGAAGTTAATGAGCTGAGTTCTCGCAAAAGATCGGCAAGGTATCTCTGAAATTAAAATTGGCGAACGTAGTACCATAAAATATCCTACCAAATGGCTGAGTCCTTTAATGAATAGTTTTCTGATATATGGCCAAACAGATACCACCAAATGATATTTAGCCTGAATTCTATATAAATATAAATATATATATATATATAGGAAAACACAAAGTACATACACTATTTAAAACACGAGTTGACAGTTGTGCTATTTTAAATTCCCAGGCACACCTAAAATCTTTTGTCCTTAAAACAATGTCGATTTCTTGGGAAATTCCAAGGTTGCGGTTTTTTGATACACCCTGTATAATCATACTAATTAGGATGAACAGTCAATTATATAATGCCACATGCTTTATCAGATATAAAATCACTCCACGTGACATATTATGGCTGACATGATTTGCCACAAGGTTTATGAATTATTAATGAGTATTTTAAACATATATACAAGGTTTTCTATTCCGCTTTTTACAGATTCCGACTTGCCCGTTCGGTGTCAGTTAATTCCAGTTCACGGGTTCTTACTGAAATTCCGCGCCTTTAAAAAATTTATTTTTTTGATTCCGGGCCGGTTTTAAAGACTTTGGTTTTCCAGTTCCGGGTTTTATACAGATTCCTACTTTTTCGCGTTCTTGACTTTAAATATCCAATTTATTAAGTTTTATTAATTACAGTCGCGGCAATAGAAGCGTTCCGAAAAATATTGAGCAATTCATTTCCTCACATTATCTGAAGATTTACGGAGTTCATCAAATATTTTAGGAAACTCCTTGAAAAACTCCTAACTAACTTTGTGATTGGTCAATGAAACAGATAACTTCCTGTTTTATTGACCAATCAATAATAAAAGTAAAATTTGATTGGTCAATGAAACCACGGTTACTGCAGGAAGTTAGGAGTTTTTCAAGGAGTTTCATAAAATATTTGATGAACTCCGTAAATCAACTGATAAATGTGGGGAAATAAATTGCTCAATATTTTTCGGAACGCTTCTATTGCCGCGACTGTAAGTAGAGATTTTTAGAAACACGGCTTTGAGTCCAAAACTAAAGAACTCACTATTTGACTGGACATAGTTCACTGTTAATCTAATGTGGCAATCGGATCATGCTTTCTACATGTTTATGACGTAATCACGCTTGTATATACGAGTATACGAACCAAGGTTAAAGGTGATCTACAGTCCGTATGTAAACAAAGCCTTTGTTTACATTTTTGTGTCCAAAATATTGAGCTTTATTCGACAACTATTTATATTTTCAAGCTTCTAGAGTATAATAAATGATCAAGAAACAACAATCAGGCTTTTCAAGAACTCAAAACATAGTTAAACTCTTTGTATCGTAAAAAGTGGGCTCATTTGTGCACATGCGCAGATCGGACTGTAGATCACCTTTAACTTTTGTAAACTAGTCTGATGATGAATTTGTAATACTGAATTCGAAATATCACTGTTGAATATTTTGTACTCTAGCTGTACTTATATAGATATTAAGTTTGAAGATGGAACGTCCATTCGGAGTGGTGTCCTACTAATTCATGAAGTTATCGCCTGGCACCGGATTTTGACTGCCTGATGCGGTTTAATGTCAAGCTTGTTTCGTTGGTAGGGATGCAACGACCTGAAATCGACGTTTCGAGCGAAGGCCCTTCGTTAGTACTAACTCGGCTAATAGAGAGTTTAAGTTCGACTTCCAATACCAATACCGATGTTTTCACTTCCGTTCTCATTTTGGTACCGGGAATTTTAAAGCGTTAAGTTATCACGACAGATAAAGTATAGAACACATTAATCGTCAACGAAAATATGCGGTATACTAAACGGCAGCTGAGCTATAATTCCGACTGAAACATGACTCAGGCGATGCTAATAAACAAATAGTTTACATGTTTATCGTAAAAATTATGAAATATCCGATTTATATGAGTTTATCTTACAATTCCCCCGACTTCCAATACAAGGCCGACTTCGGTAGTGGTGACTTCCAACACACTTGTCCTCGTGCTTCTTGCAAGTAGAGAGCATGCGCGTGACATGTTGTTAGTATCGGTATTGGTATCGGAAGTCGAACTTTTAAAAACTCTCTAATAACTCCAGACGAAGGTCCTTCGTTCGAAACGTCGAAATTCTCCTTATATTTTCAGGTAGTTGCATGCATGCATACATACATACAATTCGACTTTGAATGAATTGAGAGAAGGGGCTGATCTGAGCTTTTCTGACAAGCTGTTCCACAGGGAAGCACCACTGTAGCTGAAAGAACGTTTTAAATAGTCTGTTCGAGGTTTTGGAACAGACACTTTATTTAGAGAATTTCTCAGATCATAATTGCTCACTTTGGGTGTAAATAACTGCTGCAAGTATTGAGGAGCACAATTATTATTAACTTTGTACATTAGAATAGCTTTTTGCTTCATGCGATTTTTTGCCAAAACACTCCATCCCAACTCAGAAAGTAGGGATGCTGACGAAACCTCATACGAGGACCTGGTCATTACCCTAGCCGCACGATTTTGCAGCTTTTGTAGTTTCTCACCCAGTTTTAAACCAATACCATCCCAAACTGGAGAGCAATAAGTAAAATAGGGCTCGACCAGGCGCCTGTATGCCTTCACAGCCGTTTCTCTATTGATGAAAGGTCTTACGCGCTTAAGAGCACTAATACCGGACGAAATTTTTTTGGTAATATTATTGATATGGTTTTCCAAGTTAAGTGCTCGTCGATTGTTAGACCTAACGACTTTGTAGATTGAACTTTTTCGATCTTTTCGTTGTCTACAAAGACATTTAAATCGTTGGTTTCACTGAAAGTTGCAAGTCTCTGACGGGAGCCAATGACCATAAGTTCGGTTTTTGCAATATTAAGACTTAATTTATTGGATTGTAGCCAGGTATTTAGATTGATCAATTCGCATTCATTGCGTCTTCCAACTCAGAAAGATCATGGCTATGAAAAGTTATGTTAGTATCATCGGCATACATTCTTGCTAAACCGTCATTCATACAATTTGGCAAATCATTAATATAGACCAGAAACAAGAGAGGTCCAATTATTGACCCTTGCGGAACACCATAAGTATAAGAACGGCTACTGGATAGTGTATCATTCACGAAGCACCTTTGCTTATGATCAGACAGATAAGATTTAAACAAGCCTAGAGCACTGCAATCAACTCCATAGCATTCAAGTTTATTTATGAGAATTTCGTGATCAATAGTATCAAAGGCCTTTTTTAGGTCAATGAAAATAACTCCATTTACCAGACCATTATCGATATTTACGCACCAGTCATTAGTCGATTCGAGTAGAGCCGTTACAGTGCTGTAAGTAGGTCGAAATCCCGATTGTTGATGCGAGAATAGATCATTCACTGACAAGTACTCGTAAAATTGATCATATACGATTTTTTCGAAAACTTTTGCAACACTTGAGATTATGGAGATTGGACGATAATTATTCAAATCTGATTTGTCACCATTTTTAAATATAGGAACAACCCTGGCCAATTTCCAATCACTAGGATAGATGCCCGTGGATAGTGATTTGTTGAATAGTTTGGTTAAGGAAGGTGCTAAAATATCTGCATTTTTTTAGTAATCACTACGATAGATGCCCGTGGATAGTGATTTGTTGAATAGTTTGGTTAAGGAAGGTGCTAAAATATCTGCAAATTTTTAGTAGTTTACCCGGAAGACTGATTGTCCAGGCCAGTAGATTTCGCAACGTTTATATGTTTTAGAAACTGCCTGACTTTATCAATATGAATTTCTTGAAATGAAAAAACACAATTTGGCCTTTTAGTGTACTGAATAGGATTTACATTGGATTTACCAAATTTATGTCATTCGCTAAATTTTTGCCAACATTGGTGAAATGAAAGTTAAAGGCATCTGTAATTTCTGAGGCCTCTGTAATTACATTATTATCATCTAAATTAATTTTGCTAACATTGCCCGACCTGCTTTGTTTACGAGAGGTCAGTTCGTTAATAAGCTTCCAAGTTTTTTTAGGATCGTTACCTGCAGCTTCAATATTAGATGTAAAATGGTTACGTTTTGATTGCTTAATGAGATTATTGGTTTCGTTACGAGCTTTTTTATATTGATTCCAAATATGTTCATCTTTAGTAATGTCAAATTTCTTTTTTAGAGAATCTCTTTGGCGCATTTTTGAAACAACTTCCGGTGTAATCCACGGAGATTTCTTTTTCCCTAGACGTTTTTTTTTAAAGGGAGCATGTTTATTGATCACCAACGTAAGTTTATTTGCCCAGTTGTACCACATTTCGTTAGGATTTTCACAATGGGAAGCCTCGTCAAAATTTAACTCATTTAAATCATGTAGGAAATTGGCTTCCTTAAATTGTTTGAAATCTCTCCTTATCACCGGTTTATTTATCTGCCACTTAGGGTAGCTGGACTTGCGAACTAAGTAAACAAGTGAATGGTCACTGATACCCAGTGAAAAAGTACCAGATGCTGTTATTTTATCAGGAAAATTGGTAATACATAAATCAATTAGAGTTTGCGAAGTTAAAGATATTCTAGTAGGTTCTGTAATCAGTTGATGAAAATCGTAAATATCTAAAATGTTTAAAAGTTCGGAGGTGTTAGAGTCGGGCGACCCTGAGAGCATATTGCAATTTATGTCGCCAAGCAGATGAAATTCGGAGTTTTCAACATCAATTTTATCCATTAAAACCTCAAAGTGAGAAAAGAGATCAGGAGGAGAACTTGGAGGTCTGTACCAAGTACCGACAAGAAACGGCCTAGAGCGAGGGTTAGTAATTTCAATTACGAGACATTCAAGGTTGTCATTTAATAGATCCTCGCGAATACGAAAATTCAAGTTGCTTCGCAAATATATACACACTCCACCGCCACTTCTACCATTTTGTATTCGATCTTTCCTAACGATATCGTACCCCGCCAGATGGACCTGGTCGTCATCAATAGAGAAATCAAGCTTAGTTTCATTAATGGCTAAAATATCAATATTAGAATTATCAATAAACACTCTTAATTCATCAATATGAGCTAGAAGACTATTAATATTAAGAGAGGCCATAGTAAGGCCTTTGCGAAAAACATTAGCTAACATATTGACTTTGTCGCTATTAGTATCTGTTTCTAAATAATTGGTATCGGACTGTGCACTGGCAATAAGCTATGTAGTACTGATATAGCTAGAAATATTTCTAGCTATAGTTGTGGTACCCTTACGATTGAGGTGTAACCCTCTCATGTTTAAACAGGAGGAGTCAATAGCTGCATGGTCCATAAATTCCCAGTTGTTTCCATTGCAAAAAGCCTTAATAAGTTCATTGGTTTCAACCACTTTCTTAGATAGTTCAGGCTTGTCAGTTCTAGGTAGGATACTAGATATGACTAAACTAGTTGCAGGCGACTCTTGGACAATCTGAGTGCCAAGATTGGCAATTCCTTGTGCTACTCTACGAGCCGATTGATGACTTATATCATTTGTCCCCACGTCCACAATAATTTTATCGGGCTCTTTACGAAGAATTGGACGTAGGTAATCTTCCATGTCCGTTGAATTAGCTCCCGCAAAACTCTTAACAACAACGTGATTTTGGGGATTTGACAGTCGCCAGCCTTGTATGTTCTTTATAATAGAGTCTCTTGCTATAACTGTAACTTTTTTCTCTCGATTAATTGCAGATTTAGAGTTAAGACCTGTGACATCTGCGTCAAGATCTGCGTCAATTATAACGCTATCGTTTTGGTCATATGTAGACTGCTTGTTTTTACGTTGATGCTTGGTTGAATTTGTATGCGACTTTTCATTAGAAGAGTCATACTGAATTTTTGATTTAGAACTGTTTGCGACTTTTTTAGACTTGTATTTGCGTTTTAAAGAGCGTACATGCTGGGAGCTTTCGTCACCCGACAATATTATGGATTCAGGTTTTGAATGCTGACCAACAGAGTTTTGATTCGTTTGATTCATCTCAGTATCGTCAGCATTTGACGCTTCGTTGTTTTTGCAATCTTTGAAAGCTGAAATCTTATCGCTCGACTGAACAAGCTTAATTGCCGTCACCAGACACGATTTTTCCTTCTCAAGATCTTTGACGCGTGTATTAAGATCCGAATTGATGAATAGTGCATTGTTAAGCCTCTCGACTAGGGATTCATTATCATTCTTAAGCTTCTCATTTTCAGCTTGTAAAGCGGCCAGGCCCATATATTTGTCACCGGCATTGTTTATGGACAGCCGATTTTTTAACATACTGATATCATTAATTATGCCATTTAGGCTACTATGCAGATTATCCTCGAGATGCTTAATTTTTGACTCAGTTTGACTAAATCTGATGTTCACTGACTTTAAAATGTTTACTGGGAGAAGATCATTACTGTCTAGGACGTTCGTTTCACTGTCACTTACTTGTGTTGATTCATTCACTGAGTATACCGAGCATACCGAGTTCTCAGGTACAAAATTTACCGAATTTTCCGGTTCGCTGTCGATAGGAAAGCCGTGACATACCTCTGCATCGTTGACCAATTTCTCTGCCGACAATTCACACAAATTTGTTAATACTTCGGATAGATTGTTCGTCTTCTCTGGATCTCCCGACAAGGTGATCCATTTTGCAGTCTTTCCATGCCATTTCAAGCTCACACTGTCACTTGTAAGAAGCTTTACTTCACCACCAGGTGATGACCATTTTCCCGATATTCCTAACTCATTTGAGACAAATTCCTTCAAATTACTCACTGTACTGTCCCAGTAAAGCCTTTCTCCCGTTATCTTTAAGTTATTACGCAGATTTGTTGCCATTCGTAGCAAAAGTTGAATAAAAAGTGAATAAAATTTCGAAGATTAGCGGAGCTACTAAACACACGTCTTAGCGAGACAAAAGCGTTGATCACATATGATGATCACATATGTTCTTCAGTGCATGCAAAATATGGTAAAGTTGTAAAAATTAACAAGCAATAAAATGTAAGAATTATTCAGGAAAATCTTAAATCGCGGTACCGTTACGCTTTTGAGTTATGTTCCTGCTGGTTTTAAGTTATATTTATGAAAATATCATTTTTATACAGTAAAATAGTTGTTCTAAAAAATTGTGTTCGGAAATTTTTGTTTA